TTTGGTATGTTACTTGCAGTCGTAAGTACCTGCATCATGTGTGACCTAAATGACACTCAAAGCTTCCCAGGTTTAAATATGAATGTCATTTTTTCTTTATCTATATGTGTCCATGTCTCTGAAACAGGCAAAGACCTTGTACAACTGTTACATCATTCAACTCACTTTAATACCAAGCAATTAATCCAAAACTAAAACTTTTGAATCACAAATGCATTCGGTTACAGCCGAATTGATTGAATAGAAGCTTTTTCCACCCAGTATAAAGACTTACAGCGTGTAACTGTTAAAAGACTTTTGATCTCATTTTGTTTTTTTGTTAAGTCAAAAGTTGTTCATCAAAAACGACATCCTGTCTGAAACACAGCAGGGTCACAATTTAAAGTTGAGTTGTAGTCAATGTCTTAGATACACCAGCCATTTTTCCAAAGACCATTATGAAATCTAAATACAAATGGAAGGTGTTTAAAACATCTGTTGAGAAAATAAAAACAGGCACATGTTGAGAAGTCTAAGAAGCTGAATGACAATAACTGAAAGTCTTTGCCCACACATAGCGTGTCGCTGCTGTTTGCAAACGGTGGAGGGAAAATTGCGTGCAGCTGGCTGTAGAGCACAATCTCACACACACACACACACACACACACACACACACACACACACACACACACACACACACACACACACACACATACTTGCATCTCTTGCAATGCATTTTTATCACACCTCCCTGTGGTCACAGCTGTGAGAAACAGACAGAAACGAACAGCACAGACTTTAAGATGTTTTCGACGGCCTCCACATACCCTGTCTCCCTGCCACTGTAAGGAGCTTCAGACATTTACAGAAGAAGAGAGGACATAAGAGGAGGGGAGAGGAGATGAAACAAGAGAAGGAGGAAGGAGGTTCAGAAACCAAAGAAGAAAAATAAATTGGGGAAGCTATGACACAGTTTCTCATCCAAACCACACCTCCTTCCTCATCCTCTACATAAAGATCCACAGCTTAAAATAGCGCCCACAGACACTTCGGGGATGTACCTATGCAAAGTAAAAATCAGTATTTCCATCTGAAATTTTACCTAGCAAAGGGAGTTCTGTTATGTGGGAGGGAAGACATCGTCTGGTTTCCCTTCACCTTGCATCCTCGCAGGTTTCTCTCTGTCTGGTGGATGAACAAAGGGAGCGAAGTCTGTGTTCATCGAAGTTAAAAATCTAAATTTAAAATGATGTCACACAGTCAGAGTTCTTATTTAGATGTGATTCCCTCAGTATACTGTATGTAAAAATGGGGGTTTAGCATGTGTTACCAAGTGCTTTGCTCTCGATGGCTTAATGTTAGGTTTCCTTAAATGAACAAAGAGCACAGTCTTGACATTCTGTGCTGCAAATTAAAGTATTTCATTTTCCCTTTTAGTGATTTAAAACAGCTGCAAGACAGAGACAGGATCTACAGTATGAACTTATTGTTCAAGTAGCATCGATAAAATAATCATCTACGTTTAAAACCTCTGTGAGGAGTTTTTTTACTGGCTATGAAACAGACTGAAATGAATACTGAAGTCTCTTTATTACCTGCACATCAAACCAGGCGATCAGAGATAAGAGTGACTATTTTTGTGTTGGTATTAGTAATGCTTGAAACCTCTGCTGCGGGTCAGAAGGTGTCAGAAAGAGTGATTAACAGCACGTTGCATGTTTCGGTGCATGCTGGGCTTTTGTAAAAATGACAGTCAAGTCAAGTCAGGTCTCTCGTTTGTGTCTCTTCTCTTGGTATACGTGATCTGATCAGCCCACACGTGCTTGCTTTCTGTTTCTGTCTCCTGATAGCTTCACCTCTCTTTCTCTATATTATAGGTTTGTTCAATTTCATTTCAATTAAAGTCCAAATCTTCTCCAGAAATACGTCTTTCTTAAAACATCTTCATAAAAGTGTATGACACAGTTAACGTTAAAAAAAAGGAGGTGTTTCCACGTTTTCCTTTGAAGGGGAAAGTTTCTCTCTAGTCACATAGTTTTTAGGACAACTAAACAGACAAGCAGGATTTTGTGACATCCTGACGAGGTAATAACAGGTGTGACATAGAAAGTATAGAGGCATCTATACTGCCTGCAAACTGAAAATAGACTACATTCACACAGTAGTCATTTTCCCTCAGGATTGGAAGCTCCGCTAGTTATGTCATAACACAGCTGTGTTTTTGTAAAAGAACATTATGAATCCAGAGAAATATCAGGACATATTTCAAATTAGAGCAACACAATATCTCACATAAAGCTACCTTCAGACAACAGCTACGCTAGCTCCAGCTACGCTAGCTCCAGCTACGCTAGCTCCAGCTACTTTCTATTAATCAGTCAAACAAACTGTAGCTTTGTAAAGCACCTTTCTGACTAATTCAATTGTAAAGTGCTTTACAAGGAAGCAGACAAGTTATTGACAAAGCAAATATATTCTTGTGAGTTTGGAAGAAACTGAATACAAATTCAATAGGAATGGGTTTTATACCATAAATAACTATAATATAATCAGGAAGTAGTTGAACACTTTGAACGCTCGGCAAATATTTTTTAGCTAAGTGTAATTTTAGCCAGGAGGTTGTTGAACGCTAATGTGAGCTGTTGTCAGATGGTAACTATAGGGGAATAAAAATGTGGCTTTAACTTAAAAATGTTCCCCCGAGGTCCTCTAGATTTTCACTATACATCGTATTTTGAGTTAATGATCAATTATGAAGTCAACTATTTGTCCTGCTAGTGATAAGGAACTTAAAACCAGGAAAACAATGCTTCAACATACTATATATACTTTGACCTTTCACCCTGAGCTGGAAGCCAGAGAGCCATGGCTGCAATGTGAATATGGTGAATGTACAGATTTCCGTTGGCCTGACTTGAATCAGAACTATCAGAAAGAGAATCAAGAGTAGTTTGCTTTGCCAATTGGTCTTTTGATGTGAAGAAGGACATTTATTGTCCATCCGTTTAACTGTTAAAACAAACAACATCTGTATATTCACAGGCTCTGGATTCTACTGTGAAGGAGAACATTCAGACCGTTTATTCATTTTTGTCTTACATATTTAATTTGTTTTCTCTGAGGCAGGTCATGTTTTGACCAGCAGGTTTCTTTGCACAAATCAGAAATAAACCATCTGATGACATAATAAATATATTGTAATGTGCAACAGTATTTTCACTACAAAAGGAATCAAAACTGAGCTTTGGAAGATTTCTTTTGTTGCATCATGCTGAAGATCTTTAATGCTGCTGTTCGTTCACAGAGAACACATGCTGTCGATACTCTACTTGGCAGTAGTTATATTTGCACTATACCACTGTAATGATCACCACTCCTATATACATTTTCCATTGTTTTGTCAGTAAGTCTTTTATTTTTCTTTGCTTTTAGGAAATGTTCTTTATTATCTACTGTTGGTTAAATGTCTGAGTGGTTCTTCTTAGTCCAACATCTTCTTCAATAAATCAGCATATTGTTTTGCTTTTGTGACATCAGATCAGACATCTCCAAACATAACATGGTTCTGAGAACTTTCTTCAAGGACTCATACACATCAGATACAGATGATACACATGTACTAACACATACAGTGAACGCAGCTGATGTAATTCTTGCTTAAGGGCTACTTCCTGATTTCAAGACTCTTTACTCTTAGAAGTGGAAATAGCCAAATACCCTGTGTTTCACAGGTCTGGGAGGAAATCCATATATAGATATTAATTCTTGAAATATGAGCGATTTTATCGGAAAAACTTTATGTTGCCAAGTTTCCACTTCAAACTTGTTTCCAAATGAATACGGAAACAGTTTTGTAAACTGTTGTATCTCTTCAGAATAAATACAATGCTTTAAAAATGTTTAACTTGATCGATGTGTTTTTGACCCAAATTCATAGACTATATACAGAGTCACATATTATTCTCATCCTACCAAACAAACTCTATTGTTGTTTTAACTGCTTTAAAATGGTTGTAGTAGCCTCTACAAGCTCAGTTTCTTACCTTTCCAAACTGTCAAAACACAAACTCACTCACAACTCTGCTTAGTTTTCTGTTTTATTTTCTTATTACTGCATGAAACAGCTAAGTGTGTTTTCATCCAGATCCACATCAGCTCACCACCCAGAGTGTGAGTCTCACTCCCCAGAGAGTCTCTCCATTCCTCTCCTTCCTCTTTTATCCCCCATTTTCTTGTGTATGTAAACAGGAGTAAAGCATTTTTGAGCTCCGAGGCAGAGCACGATGATCAAACAGTGTGCACGATCAATGACTTTGAAGAGATCTAACATCCCCTTATAAATGAATTTCACACAGAAGGAACAGCAGAAATGAAGAAACTCACTTCTGGAGCCAGTGGCCACATGTTTTCTCTCTCCTTAGACTAAAAGAGTGACGAATAAAAAAAACAGAGTACAAAGTTTAAGAAAGGAAAGACTGCATCTTTTTTTTCTCGCACATTGCAGTGGTCGCCCTTCGTTTTTTTTTTTTTGACTCTATGGCCCAGCGACTGCCGGCCTGCTAGCTTTAGAGCAGGGAGGAGTCAGTGAGAAAGAAGTGGGGATCTTAGAAGCCTCACTAGCGTACCTCTCTCATCTTGTGTGTCAAACGTCTCATGTAGCGTTGTTAAAACAGTTTAACAGAAGCAAACAAAACAGAAAACTACAGCTGAAGGCCTCAACATGTGTTGACATGATAACTGATCAGTTTGGGGTCTGTTAAACTTTGAATTTAAGAGCAGCAATGTATCTAAAGGCCTTACATAATAAAAATCTAAAAAAAATAAATGTTCCTTGTCTAAAACTGAACTTCATCCTTTTTTAAAAATAAGTCTGTGGGTTTTCACACTTGAGCAAAAGCACGAGAACATTGGATGAGCGAAGACTTCCTGTTCTTGGTGGCGTAGCTGAAATGAAACTTCCTGTCACTGAGGCATTAAGGTAGTGGCAGGCTTTTTTTTTTTTTTTTTTTTTGGTGTGACATCACCGCCACTTGCTTGACTTGACACCAGAGGCGAGGTTTCAGGGTTTGGGGAACAAGTCCAGGAAGCTGCGTCAACCGATAAGACAGAAAAACGTATGTAGCTTTAGAAAAAAAAGCAAAGTTTTTGACATATTTCTCCTTTAGAGTTAGTTATTAGGATAAAACAGCAGGACTGATCTGTATGGTGTGTGGCTGTACACACCCTAACTCCTGGACATGGCAGGTCTTTTTGGTCTGAAGATCCTGCTTCTCTGGGCTGGTATCATCGGTTTGGCAAACTGTAAGTAATAAATGTAATCTTAATGAAAATAATGGGGAGAGGAAATGGTGTTTTCTGAAGTTTTCTCCTCGTGACTGTTATCTGAAAGTCTTCAAGAAGACAAGAAATCTGTTTAGAATGCATAATATGAATAATAATAACCAATTGTAGGTGATTAGGTCTCTTAATCTAAACTCTTAACTGTTTTTGAAGTTGTAGCAATCTGGTTGTTGAACATACGATCGTGTTAAGGGAGAAAAAAGTGAAACACTTGAAGTAGAGAGATTCAGATTGAGATAGAGATGTGAATCCGTCAGCTCAGAAAACCATAAATGTAATCATTTCAAGTAAAAGCTGAGGGCAGAAACGACAAGCTACAGTATATCATGTCTTTGAGCCGTACCGACTTCATGTTTCTTAAACTTTCCAAAGCCAAGAACACAAGACATTAGAGCGCACAGCAGTGATGTGAAGAGCTACAGAAGTGACAGCTTTGTGAGGCCCTTTGGCAAAAGAATAAACACTTATGTTCAATCAAAGACGGCTGTTAATAACAAGACGCTCTTTAAAACGGATCCTTTCATTTGTTTCACAGCTATGGGAATTTTTGCAATCATGTTTCTGTTCTGCTTTGACATTGTGTGTGTGTGTGTGTGTGCTTGTGATGTGATGGTGCAAGTGAATATGTGTGTGTGTGTGTGTGTGTGTGTGTGTGTTTAGGGTTGGTGCCTGTCAGAGATGAGAAAATTAGTCGGGGTGTGTCGCTGCGAGCGCTTTGCATCAACCCTTGTGGCTGTGTGTGTCTTGTATTTGATACGTGTGTGTGTGTGTGTGTGTGTGTGTGTGTGTGTATGTGTGTGTGTGTGTGTGCGCGCCTGGGTGCATGCTTGTGTGTTAAGCCAGACCCACCTTGCTGCCTCTTACATCATTCAGAGTTCTGCTGCCGATCAGAACATCAAATCATTTCTGTTACTTTCAGCTCAGATGTCTCTATATATCTTGAAATAAACCCTCCTCTCTATTTATACCACTCCCCAGTCAGGGTCAGTATTTGTCATTAGTTTCTCTTATTGAGTATTTCTCGGCAAGTGTGCAAGGTGATCACTTTGGTGCACCACAGCAACAGACAGTCCTCATTTATGTCACTCCATCAACATGAAGAGTGTTCTTTAAGTAGCAACCATCTGAAATCTATGAGCCTTTGTTTTTCATTTTAGAACAATTCACTTTTCTTATACAGTAAATAAAAAGCATTTCATCCGAGGTAATAAACATCCCTGTCAAGTACTCACAGGTACTGAACTTTAGTATTCTAGTGTTATATAGTACATTGCACTTAAACTCCATTATTCCAGAGGCAAAATTGTACATAATATAAAATCCCATTCTTAAAAAATAAACCCTAAACACATTGTTATACAGTATTTGAACCACCAGGCAAACAGATAACACCAACAATCAGCTTCACATCAAAACTCAGTGTAAATGTAAATCCCCAAATGTAACATCCTTCATAAAGAAATATCTCTGATAGATTTTTGTAAAAAACGTCAGTACTTTCACCTTCACTTCAGGGGAAGTTGATTGATTCAAGCTTCTACTAAAGAGACTTTGTTGCTGCCTGTCTTAGCCAGGACACTCTTGGATAATAGATTTGAAATCTCAACCAAGACTTTTAAGTAAAATTGATGTAGGGACTAAAAAAATGTGTTTGATTATTATTATTATTATTATTATTATTATTATCTCTGCAATTATTGTGTTGCAGAGAACACAAGTTGGTGTGAGCCCTGACTCGTTTGTTACCAAATCACATCAAGGTCCATATAAGTTCTAAACGTTTATTCAACAAAACGACAAAAATGACAAAAATGATTGTAATGATGGTTATAATGACAAAGATGATAATCACAACGACCCACTCACCTTCTTTGTCTCCCTCCCGCCACACAACTTAGCAGGTAAAAAAAAGGTTAAGAAAAACACGCCCAAGTGCTAATGAACAGAAGTATCACTCCCATTGAAGGAATGAATCATAACAAATAATCAACACAGCTAAAATACACATTACGACTCCCGCAATAGTCAGTCTGCTATTTCTACCCAATATGGTTAGAAATTCCATGTTATTTGGGGCGGCAGTAGCCCAGTCTGCAGGGACTTGGGTTGGTAACCTGAGGGTTGCCAGTTCCAAAATATGGAAGTTGGACTGTTGAAGTTGGACTGAGCAAGGCATCAAGCCCCCAACAGCTCTGGTGCACTCCCTGCGTATAGTGTAGCAGCCCCACTCTGACATCTGTCCACTAATGCCAATCTGTTAGCAGGTCCTGGTTGTGCATGTGTGTACTTTGGGCCTACGTGTGTGAAAAGCATGTCTCTCAATAACAGAGGATAAACTAGAATTCCCCTCAGGGATTAATAAAGTTAATAAAAAATAGAAAGAAAGAAAAATCAGGTACTCTAGTTATGCAAAAGTTAAAATACAACAGTATGAAACATACTCATGTCTTAGAAACATACTCATGTCTTAGAAACATACTCATGTATTAGAAACATACTCATGTATTAGAAACATACTCATGTATTAGAAACATACTCATGTCTTAGAAACATACTCATGTCTTAGAAACATACTCATGTATTAGAAACATACTCATGTCTTAGAAACATACTCATGTATTAGAAACATACTCATGTATTAGAAACATACTCATGTACAGTATTTGTCCTACATTCAGTAAATGTATAGTTACAGTGTAGTCACCGTTCAGCAGATTAAAGGGCTCCTGTGACATATATATCAAAACCCCAAATAATGTGCTATGAAAGAAATGTTTGTCCTCTACATCCTGCTACTGTGCTTTTGAAATAATTTCTATTTGTACTACGAGTATGTATATGTTTCTTTTCTCTTTATACCAAATAGAAAGTTGAATCCTAAGAAAAACTCGACCCTGCGTGTTTGTCTTGAAATCATTTTTAAAGAGGTTAAGTGAATATAGGATCAAATTATCCCTACATGCCATAGATCATGTTAGAATTGGATTTTGCTATGCAGCTATAGCAACTATGTCTCCATTAAGATGCAAATAACGAACTCTCTTCAACTGCAGCAGCACACAGTTGTTTGATCTGAACATCGACCACTTCCGCGTTTCATTCTGAGTTGCCTTCATTTCCTGTCAGAGGCGAGCAGAGTGCTGTGGGCAGAGCACGCTGAGACAGAGCATGTAAATGCCCTGTGAATTCATGGTATATAAAAAGGGGAAGTGCAGTGTCTAAAATGAAGAAGCGAGGTCAGAAATGTTCAGAATGCTGCATGAATACAGCCTTCTCTGGGGAGGTGGGGGCGTCGCACAGAGCAAGGGACGGTGCCGTGTGATGAATGCAAAATTTGAGGGAATAAGGAAGAAGAGGCGGATTTAAAAATATATCTTTTAATCTATTGAAACTGATGGATAAGAGACAGCTGTGTTGCAAGATGATAGTGTTGTGAGGGGTTTGAGGGAATTGGTTCGGTAATTGTAACATACCATAAAACTTCAAATAAAACCCGTCCAAATTTAAGGCCCAGTTCCTTTTACCAGCCGAACAAATAAAGAACTAAGGCAGGTCCCAATTATAGGCCCTGATGCATTATGTGTTGAAATAGTTTGTCCAAGAGAGACACAATAATGTTAGGATGCGTAACAGTGAGAGAAAGAAGTTTAAAGAACATGCTGTGGAGATTCATATGTGAGTGTGCATCCACACAGTGTGAGCGCAGCCTCTCATTGAGAGTCTTCTGCATGACGATCTGGAAAAAGACTAAAGAAATGTCCACCTCATTGAGTGACCAGAGGGACAGGGACGACTCTGCTGCTTGTGCTGGCTTGAAAGATGGAATTAATCTTGACATTTTGAAAACAAACGTTTTTTTCATCTCTCCTGAAATTTGAACACTGTATCATGTACTGTGAACAACTACAGACATTCTGATATGTTCCCACAGATCCACAGGCCCGCACAGCACTCGTTAGTGATTGTATTAACAGGGGTCTCTCTCGCTCTCTCTCTCTCTCTCTTTCTCTCTCCCACAGTGCAACAGGTTGACATTGATGGGCTTTCAAAGCAAAATCAAACAAGTGATTAGTAATTAAATTTGTTAACAATATCCGGATTTTGTACGCAGTTAAATATTCTTTCTGGATTAAATTCAGAATGTTAAAGTCTTTCTTATCTTTGCTATGCATAAATTTTGTTTGACTCATCTTGTATTGACTCCTGTTTTGTGATACTGTAAAGGGTCTCCCGTCCTCTACCTGTATGTCTCCCTCAATTCTTCTTCTCTTCCACTTAAGGCCTTAAACAGGCTCATATAGCAGTTTAAACTTGACACCATTGTTTCACACTTTGCCCTGAAGACATTGAAAAAGGAAGTATAACTGGGTTAAACTATAAACACGTTTTTTGTTTTTTTTACTTGCTTCTTGTTATAAGGGTGTGGCTTCAGCTTAAAATAAAGTGAGATTGGAAGCAATTTGTCATCAGTTTTTAAACTTATTCATAAATCACAAATTGTGTCTCCAAAACTTTTCACTGAAACTTTCAAATCCATCCACATAAAGAATTCAGTGAAATGTCACTACAGAGAGAGAGAGAGAGAGAGAGAGAGAGAGAGAGAGAGAGAGAGAGAGTTGGCGAGCAGCTCAGCTCAGTTTAGTAAAACAAAAGTGCACAAAACCACATCCTGAGACTCACTGTTTCACTATCCTCTACCTCATTGCTCTGTGAACACCACTGTTCCAATAATAGGACCAATGGTCTAAAGTAATGTCACATTTAAAAGAAAATAGTTTTTATAGAGACAGAATGGTCAGTTCCAATGAGAGCCAGCAGGCTGTCCAAACTCAAACAACTTTTCTAAGTACAGGGAGGTTTTAGGTTTCAGTGCAAAGCAGGAAATAGTGGTTTGCCTTTTAAAATAGCAAGGCCGCATTGTCATGGCAACCAGGTTGCACAGTGTTGCTTCTAACAGAAGTTCAGATCAAAATGGCCGCGTTTTCCTCTTTGTGACCTGATAATGCCTCAGCCCTGCAGGAACAGTTTCATTAGTCTGAAGGAAGCCAGTGCTTTCAAAGAACGCTCTAAGTAAATCTCTGTTTGCCAAGTCTTTTTATGTGTGTACTCTATCAGCAGTTAACCTTCAAGAACACATGCTGAAATGGTTCTAATGTTTTTTTTTCTTTTGTAATTCCAGGTCAAAATGGCCCTGGTAAGTAGAAATGAACACAATAACACTTCAACATTCAAATACATCATAACTGTTTGATGAAAGAAATGTTTTATTCCACTTCACTCTGTCTTTATGCTGCTTCATTTCTCTGCTGTCATCGGTTTCAAAAAGCAGAAACACCTCATGATATAAGCATGCTCACCAAGTGAAAATATGGTATTCTGTGCACAGTGAGAGATTTCATCAATCTTTTAAAGAAGTTAGGTTGACATTAGATTCCATTTTGGTTTCCTCCCCTTCCATGTTTTAATATCAGAAACAGAAGGAAACAACATGCAGAAACATGACAGATAGCTACATGATAAGCAGACAAGACTAATGTGAACCTGTTACACCTTTCAACATGTTTAGGTTTGCCTTTAATCTTTTGAAATGGATGCTGGGACTGCATTTATTCTTACCTACACAGAGTCCTTGGCTTTTTAGCCCAGCTTAAGCAAACTTGCCTTCACTACAGGCTTTATATCTAAATTCTGTTCTCTGATATGAGGGTACATAGTGTTCAGACATTCATTTGTGTTAATATGTGTTAAACGTCAATTTAGTTTTTATTCCAATGTGACCTCGGCCCTTTGCTGCATGCCATCCTCCACTCACTCCTCCCAATATTTCCTGTTTCAATTTAGTTGTCCTATCCGATAAAGCCAAAAAGGCCCAAAAAAATGCACAAAGGGTTGATGATTTATATTACTATTGTATTGAAGTAACTGACATTGGTTATAAATGGACTTCAGTTCATCGGAGCTGAGAGAGTTTTTTAAATGACACTTCCTAGTTAGGCTAGATTTCATTATATTTTTATGTCAAGTCAGAATATAATTTATTTTTTGAGAAGATAAGCTAGGTAGCTATTGGTACAACATTATGCTAACAACTGATACAATCTTTAGCTTCGTAATGTTCAAGCTGAATCAGGTTTCACAACCAGGAACTATTTGAACTCAGTTACATGTAATGCTCAATTCATCTTATTGTATTTTAGCCCTGTGCTGCTAAAGCCAACACTGTGAGTGGGACATTGGCCAAGAACCTATTAGTGTTGTAGGAGCTGTGATAGTGATTGTATGTGTGGCTTGACTAATGTTTTCTTGTAATGCAGATGTTTCGACCCCCTTACTTCCAAACACCACAAACACTGATACCCCTTTGGTCACCAGCTTGTCAGGCAACTCCTCATCTCCACGCACCGTGACAGCAGCTCCTGTCACGTCTTCAGACACCTCGATCACTGCCACCCAAACCTCCACTCACTCTTCACTTATTACAACCACCATGCCTGGTAATGTATTAAGACCCTGCTCTGTGTACAGCTTCATAAAAAATATAAGCATGGAAATCAGCTGAATATTCTTCTCCTGAAATATGAAATAGATATTATATCAGGCAAGACTCTTGTAAGTAAAGTGATTCTACTTGAAGATGACTCCTCCTGCTCTCCATCTCACAGCCACTACCTCTCCTGCAAGCACCTTACTCACATCCACAACCAATTCAACCAGCAAGAAAACAGACCCTCAAACAACCACATCTCAAAACCAGACCTCAAATGCAAACACCACCTCCAGCACAGTGGCTCCGCCCACCACAGGTTGGAATTTTCTCATTAAAAAGCTCCATGTTTGTTTTTGTACAGGACTGTGGTAAGATTGTTATATCCTTTGATACGAGAACTAACTCTGAAAAGATTAATCCAAACACAAGCTCCCTTCCAAGCTGCTTTGGAAAAGTACTTTAATTTTCCATAATCATGCATTAATATTTTGATGTTGTATTTTCTTTTCTCGGGTGAATCTTCTCCAGCCACCACAAAAACACCTCCATCATGTAAGTAGCTTAGTTCTTTTTTCTAAATGGAATAAAATACCTATTTAGTGGTAATAATGATAACTATATTATAATTATAATAATAGCTTGAATTGATATAGCACCTTTCAATGGACCCAAGGATACTTTATGTCAGAACACACAAACAAAGGCAACACAATTACTGTAGCCCATAGCTGAGTTGAACAGGATGGTTACAAGAGTTTTTTTAAAGCCTCAACTCAGAGCCATGTTGTTTTAGCAGCCTCTGCCATCAATGTGTGAATGGGTGTGAATGGTTAGGTCTGACCTGCGGTGTAAAAGAACTTTGAGTGGTCAGAACAGAAGACTAGAAAAGTGCTACACAAGCTCAAGACCACCAAATGTGTCCGTGCCCGAAGTGACTTTTTTTAAATGAAAGATGGTGCTGGAGTGGAGCAAGAGGTTGGCAAATGTTAAGTTATCAAAGCTAAATGGTCGATGTGGTTGATTTATTAGCTGGTGAATTGGCTTGCTTACCCTGCAGAGAGTGAGACTCTGCGTTGTTGGTGGCTGAGCACAGCTGTTAAGACTAAAGAAGCAAAGAATGGACTCATGTATCTCTGGTGATAGAGAGGCTTGTGACCAACACATATCATGGGCCTTCAAATATCTGTCTTCTCGTCACTACTGAACGCCAAAATCTCTCCAGAGAAAGCCCACAACAATCCTGACTCCTATCCACTTGCTGATAAATGAATAAATGTACCATGTATGCAAAGTGCATACCTGGTCAAAGCATTAAAATATCAATATAATAAAACAATAACTCATTAGAAAAGCTTGAGTCCAAACTGATGGCCAGTTAAAGTCATAAACCACACAGATAGCCATATTGTTTGTGGATGAAAGATCCGACCAATGACATCAACGCAGCTAGGAGGTAAAGGTTAGTGACTGAATGAAAGCCAGCATGCCCCAACTCTCACAGATCCATGCCCCATTTAAAACTTACCATCAAAATGGAGAGTCATATAATAATGAATCCCCTGCAAGTTGTTATAAATACAAAAATGAGCTACGAAGACCAGAACGTGTTTTCACCCAGCCAGGAAGTAAACATTTATTTCTGCTGTAAAAAGGGTATTTTAAACGGGATCCTATCATGGTTTTTCTGGGTTTTTTTAGTCAGTCTCAAGTTGACACTTGAGGAACTGCACTTCTGCATTGGCTTAAGGAAGTAGATTGTTATTCGTTGTAATGTAATCCTGGATCCTCCTATCAGATATTATCTGACAAACTTTTAACTTAAATCTCTTTAGACAGACATCTGTAGCAGTGCAGCTAACAATCTGGTTTTAGACTCTCTCAACCCAAATTTAATCCTCCCCTCTCAAGTTACCAATTGGATTGTAAAAATTCTCACATAGAAAATAGTCTTGGCTGGATTTCCTTTATGGCTACCAATAAGTTTGCTTTTGCTCCCAGAGGTTTTACGACTGTATGACGATGGGTTTAAAAACTACTGTAGATTACAACTCCAGTAGATTTATACAGTGAGTACAATCGACTCTGTTGATATCATGTGCAGGTTCTTACGCTGTCTCAACCATCAAGTTTGGCTTCAAGATAGACATAACAAGCGCTACCACTGGAAACTACGACATAAACATCAAAGAAGAGGCCCATCCTAAGACTGAAGTGATGCGCTCTGTGGTCCACTCCAACCAAACCTCATCACATACGATCAAACACCTGAAGCCCTGTACTGAATACAAACATGCTGTGGAATTTAATGACAGTGCTGGCAACATAATGCTCTGTAGCTACACTGGAAATAAAACTTCTGAACTCACAACTCAAATGGGTGAGTGTAAATAACTACTATCAAAACGCATATTTTTTCTTTGTAGTTAAGCACTGAGTTTGGAGAGACATTTGTGCATCACTTTTTTGTTTCAGAAATGAAAGACATTGAAGACGGTAGCTGCATCCCAGGATATGTTTGTTACAGGAGTGATTGGAACATTGGCTCTTCAATGTCAGCATCCAATAATGTTGCAGCAGAGCCATGCCGCACTAACTCTACAGAGTTTTGTATCAAACCTGGTATCGATGACATTTGCCCAAACTTGACCACAACCTTCACTTCAGCAATGTGTATGAACTCTTCCTTCGAAAAGATCAAACGCAACGTTGGTATGTATAGTAGCGTCCTACCATATTTACAGAATAACATCAATCCGTCGATCGTGTTGCATCATGTATAATATTTTGATTATTTGACTTTACAGATTATTTGAATGTAAGTGGATTACAACCGGAAATACCAACTGAACTTCCTATAAATAAAATACAAACAAAATTACCTCAAAACTGCAGCAATCTCAACATTGTACACACGTGTCTGGGTAAGTGAGATGAAACTTTGTCTGCCATCATTATGAATTGATTTACATTGAAACAGACAATTTGCTATTGAATACTTACACTGTGGTAAGAAAGCGATGAAAAGGAATTACACTTTCAAGTAAAACTAAAGGAGCAGGTGGAGATATTGTTGTTCTAAATCCTAAAGAGAAATGCTTACAGGCACTAAGGCACAAACAGCAGTGGTTGAATAAATGTCATTCTTTTGTTTCCTCAGATATTGATGAATTCAGTAAGCCCATTAAGCCATTGACTGAGCTGGAGCCCTTCACAAACTACAGCTGTATGGGTCAGATCAAGGAAAACAATGTTACCATAAAGAACACAACTGCTATCAAGTTCAACATTGACTGTGGTATGTTTACTCTACTTCAGTTTAATCAGAGCAACAATCAGCTTGATGATGATTTCATTCTTACAGATGTCTAACGTTTTCTTACAGATCTTACAACTACATTCACAACGCCGTTTGTGACCGACACTTCTGTTAAGTTGAGTTGGACTACAACCAATCAGAAATGTAAAGATGTCTTAACCAAGTCTACAAAGTTGTCTTTTATCTGCAGTTGTGTCCATCCTCATTCCAAACATATACGCAGTAAGTAAAGCTACTCTCCCCAATTTTCTTATTAAGTCAACATGAATGCAGGTTCTTTTAATGGCCAGTTCACCTGAATAGTTAGATATGATTTGGAAATGTAAATGATGCTACATGCTAACACTTTAGCATCCTGAGTGATAAAAGTTTGGATAGTAATCTTGAAAAAGAATTTCCGTTGAAGAAATGTCTCTTCATTTTTCACGTATCGTCAGATGACTGACACAATGGTAAATAAGCCAATGGATGCTCAGATAGAAGCTCTTGTATTTGCTGAAGGAACTAACTGGGTGTTAAGTCAAAATTGATCCGCCAGCAGTAGTTGGTCCCCAAAGAGGGTAAATAGAGCTAACACTAGTGTTTTAAGATCCTTATAAATCCTCACAGTGAACAGGATGACTTTGAACATCAAACAAAGAGTGAGGATGTGACCGACAAATCAGTGACCTCACAGAGGCGCCACTGTTTGGACTTTGGCGTTTTACCGTCGAACACATAATAACTTTATACAATATATAGTCAAATGTAAAAAATATTGATATTTGCAGCTTAAAACTGAGTCAGTAAATGACTGGTTGTTCACTTAACAAGCCAAAAAATTCATGAACTTTGATGAGTTAACTATAAGTTTGTCATGTGGTGTAAAAATATGAACTGGACCCAAAGTGCAGAAACCAAAAAACTATTTATTTTAACGAAAAGGCAAACTCAAAAACTTACTTAAATTCAAATCCAAAACGGTGAAAAACTGTTAAGCACAGGTAATGAGACACTGGCAAACAACTGACATCCAACAACGATCTGACACAGAAGGGAAGGAACAATGGGTGAATCCGAATTGCAAAGTGCCTACACAACCTTTCAGTAGTCAGTAGACAGTAGGCGCGCACAGTAGGCAGATATTTGTTCCTACTTGGGTCTGGTTCATTCAGTACGGAAGTGGGGTCATTTGAGTTACCCGAACCGGCCGCATCCGTCCTCTTTTTTTATTTTTATTTTTTTAGCTTTATTCAAGAAGAGTAATGCACATATAGGCTACAGTCAGTTAAACGAAAAACAGTATCGCAATGCAAATCAAGTAAAAGACAGATTAAATAATAAAATCACAAAAGGGAGAAATGAAAGAGAGTAATAGGCATTAGGCTATATAAAGTACAATAAACCAATAAAGATGCATACAGAAATTTGGAAATCATTATTTAAATAGAGGGGAAAAGGTTGCAAACATTTGTTACATTTTTTGTTAATTAAAGTAGCGATTTCAGACCGGACTTTAACTCTAGATTAGAAATGTATTCAATTAATCCATGCTCTTTCTTTTTTTTATTTGGAGGCGCACGTGAAGTGACGATTTACGTTTAATTTCGCACAGCATTGCGGGTGATATAATACAATTCATTTCCTGAAAGGATGCATCCAGTCCATACTGCATAAAAACCAGAAGTTAGTTTCCATGCTGAAATGTTCAGTCTACTGAGGTGGACACAAAAAATGTCTACTGAATGACCACAAGGGTTCAGTCTACTGAAACAAGGGAAACAAGCAACACTAGGATAGACAGGATAAATCACAACAAGGAAACCTGAACTTTGAAATAGACAAAAATACCAAACTAACTAAGACCAGTACCATAACTAGTGAATATTAAGGGGCTTTGGTTTGCAGTGCTAGATCTGATGAACTTCCACTGACAAATAATGATTGATTTGTTGATTGACAGACTGATTGGTCTTAGATGCCTTATTGTTCAGTCAGATGTTAATGATGAATCAATAATCGATTAATAACCGTTTAGAATTTCTGAAAAGAAGAAAATCTGTTTTCTTTACAAATTTACCAGCGTTAACATGTAATAGGCTTCCATTTAATAAACATATATGGTGATTAATGTATTTTATGTGCTCACAACTCCTGAACGGTTAGATATATTAATTTTCTCCAATAGTCAAACCAGGAGGATTATGTGTATTGTGAAGAGGGTCGATGGTTTTATAACACTTTATGTTGATTTTAAAAAGGTGTTTCATTTGGTCGGCCTTATTAGTCCAGAAACGGCGGTAGGGCCACGTTTGGCTTTGTGCTGTTACGCAGTGACGTTGAATAAGGACAGTTAAACTCTAAAAATAGTGCTGTTTTCAAGAGAGAGCCTTGTTTTTTATTTATTTAAATAGTTTGTATTTAATGAATTCATGTTTCATGTAACTGTTGTGATAGTATAATGGTGTCAATTAAACAAACTGAGGAAAAGATGTGTGTTTTGTAACTCAATTATTGATTGTTAACATGTTCAACTATTGGTTAAGAAAAATGACGAAGATGAAATTTGAAACCCTTGTTACAGGTAAAAGTTCACGTGGAGGATGTTTAATTGATGGACTGGATCCGTATACCAACTATAAATGTGGTGTTGAACCCCGCTACAAGAAAAAAGTTTTTGTCAAAATAACGTCACCTGTTGAGACTCTCGTTGGCAGTAAGTTTAAAAAAGTTTCTTTTTGAGATGATTAGAGTCAACATGTGTAAAATAATAACAGACTATCCGGGTTATGTATAAAGGTCATGTATTGCACGTGTTGTTGAATATTAAGTTAAGACAAATGTTCATCAGTCAAAGTGAATGTCTTTCTGAAAGTCATAATTCTTTAAAGAGAAGACTCAAACTGTGACAAACTATACTTCATTTACTCAGTCTGGTTATAAAACAGACTTATATTTATACTGAAGCCTCTTTATGAGCTACAAAGCAAAAGAGTCCACCTGCAAGAAGAAGATTTCAATGAAGTAATTTTTTATTCCTGTAAACACTGCTGTTGTGAAGGTGTCAGATGATTAGACCATTAACTACATCCAGCCGTCAAAACAGCCTTTTTTTTTCCTCTTCTCATTCTTAAGAGAAAAGGTTTCACAGTGAGTGATACGTTTGACTGTTAAAAGACAGCAGGATGAGATTAAATGTAGAGTTACATCCAAAAAGGTCGCAAAAGTTGACACAAACAGAAAATTCCTCACAGGAGCTATAAGCTGTAATGGAAATTACAATGAAGCTCCAATGACCAGTGAAGAATGAATAGTAAACATATTAATAATAGACTTCTGATTCAAATAAAAGTGGTCATTCTCCATGTTTTTCTCTGAGACTTTGTGACAGTTAGAGTCTTGTTTGTAAAGTAAAATGTGTTGTTTTTTCCAACAGAACCAGCTGATATCTCTAAACGTGGTGACTCTACTAGGGCATAATGAGATAAAAGTAACCTGCACTCTTCTAGGAAGATTTTATGGACCTGGAGGGTATTACATTGCACGTCTTCGTTACGGTGACATTGTGTTGACCCAAAAAAACACAAAAGAATGTCTTTTTACATTCAAAGATCTGAGCTACTCTACAACATACATCCTGGAGGTTTGTATGATCCCAATATTTATGTTGTCAAGATTTTTTATACATAATATAAATGTTTTCTCTTTTTCTTCAAAAACTACAATTCCTGATTAAGGTTATTTTTCTGTTTAATTCCAGGTGGCTGCTGGCAATAAAAAATTTGAGGGAAATCTGAAGCACGAAGTTGTTACCACTCAATGTAAGAGCTGTTTATATCAATATGACATTTAGATAATTTTTTCACATACAGTGTAACTTTAACATAAATGCTCCCTTTGTGGTATCATTTCCTGATTACTTTACAGATAATGACAAAGCTCTCATTGGGTTCCTCATCTTCCTCATCATCCTCACGTCTGTGGCCCTGCTTTTGGTTGTCTATAAGATTTTTATTCTCAAGCGCAGACAGTCCCAGTAAGAATCGCTCTCTTTTCTCCTGCATCAGTTTGAGTCCGACTTTGCTTTTGGTTTTGAATTTTCCCTGTGATTCTTACAGCTATTGTACTGATAAAGGCAACATCTGAAGTTACAGTCCATAATTATTGTCATTATTAATAGTGATTCCCTGGTCTTATTTTTTTAAATCTATAATTATTCTACATGTATAGTTTCTGAATCTGTGATGCTGATCTTTATTATTACCTTTTCAGCGATATGAGTGAAAACATCAAGCTCATTACAACAAGTGAGTTGACTTTTTATTGACTGTTCCTCAATCTTTACTAGAACAAAATGATCAATCTATAGAAGAGTAAAAATGGCTCTCACATGTGGCAGCTACTATTGCTAATATTTTAAATAATCAGAATATAAAGATGTATTTCTATATATATATACTATACTGTTCATTTGAAGTATTCGAAATTCATAATTCTCCAGCACTTTATTGTTACCATGTCTCATCCCTGCCTGCTTTGTTCTTGTAGATGATGAGGAGAACCTGCTGCCTGTCGAGCCCATTACAGCTGAGTTCCTGCTGGACGCCTACAAGAGGAAGCTGGCTGATGAAGGGAGACTTTTCCTGGCAGAGTTTCAGGTAGTTCATGTTGTTGTTATTGGTTTTTTGAAAAAGAAAAATGAATGTGCATTCTGCAAAAAAAAGTGTGAATGGTACTCTATAATTGTTGCTTGATTTCTCTGACCTGAGTTGCTTCTCTTTTCAGAGCATCCCCAGAATCTATTCGAGGTACAGTGTGAAAGAGGCCAAGAAGCCATGCAACGCACCGAAGAACCGCTACGTGGATATCCTGCCATGTGAGTCTGTTGTGAGATAAAGGAGATCTTAGCACTCATGAGATGTATGATATGTATTTATTCACAGCTTTTACCTTTTTTTTTCAAACCAAATGTATCATTGGTCAGTATCCAAACCAATAACTGTAGTTGGGTAGTGGTTTGCTGTAATATTACTTCAGTATCTGCAATTTATTAAACATTTGTGGGACATGTTGCAAGTCGATGAATAGGTAAGTTTTATTTTAAAATTGTATTCACACAAAGTTTCAATCAGGGTGACACCTAACCAGAAATGTAGTTCAAACTTTTTAGGATCATATCCTTTAGTGGAGGACTAAGACGTCATCATCTGTAACTGTGGCTTTACCTGTTCAAACATAAAAGCTAACGGTCTCTGTTTGTGTGTGTTTGGATATAACACAGGAGGTGGAAGTGGTTTTAAGCAGAAAGTACATTAAGTCAAGGCATTTTTTGGTATTTTCTATATTAATTGATCTTTTGGCAATACAATTGTTTTACACCAAACAATTACACTGATTTGATTTTTGTATAACTAAACATACAATCCATTTAAGCTCCTTTGAGAAGTTTTGTTTACTGGTTATGAAACTGAAATTAGTTTTAATGCCTATGTGACTATAGCAGTATTTTTCAAAGTTGCCAGAGAGTGCCATGGGGGTCGTGAAAACTTGGAGGGAAGAGAGAGTAAAATGGAACAAGAATAAAAAACATATACAGTAATATATATATATATATATTAGTAAAACATAACATACAGTATTTGTGACAATAAAATAGTAATGTGTCTTTTTAGCTGTTATCAATCAATGCATGTTGAAAGATACATTCTTTTTTATGACAATCTTTCAGTAAAAAAGAATAACACACACATTAGTTCAAGGATTTCAAGAAATGTTGCAGGAGGGGGGTCACCGTCTGAGGTTAACGCTATGAGGGGGTCATGTCATGGTAAAGTTTGATAAAACTATCAGTAACATGATTCTTTATTTCTACATTATGATTATTTATGCCTTAAGTCTCTGCTGCGGGGTAGCTATAAGATGAGGTGGTTATACACACTCCTGAAACTGCCATTCTTTACAATTATCAAGGGAAAGCTCCTCAATGAGTGATACACTTGGAACTGGAGGATTCCTCAAAGGGAACTTTAATTTTTCCAATTCAGCACCCTGTTCTTTCAATCCCTCTGTTGTTCTCTCTTTTTATTTCCTAATGACAAGCAACATTTGGAAGTAAAAAAGTATCTGTTCTCCTCACAATATTTGTCCTTTCCTTAATAACTGATTTCTTCATATTTACACACTGCATCTTTATTACATTTCTAATACATTCTGACATACAGTACTTTGCTGAAAGGTTGAAGAATTGTTGACATGTTTCTTAGATTTTTTTTGTTATTGACTTTTTTTATGTCTTGACACAGACGACCACAACCGTGTGCAGCTGGCCACTGGAAACGGAGAGGCAGGATGTGACTATATCAATGCCAGCTTCGTTGATGTACGAAAATATTGTAAACATACAACTTCTACTGCTACACTCTTAGTTATTGTCAAGCTTTAAAGAGGACATATTATACCCCTTTTTCCACCTTTTAAAAACATCTGTGCTGTGCTTTGGTCAAAATCTAACATGAATCAAGCACCAGAGGAGGTTTGTGACCTTGTATACACCAGCTCTATGAGAACGCTCCGTTTTGGTGTGTGTGTCTCTTTAAATGCAATGAGCCCCCCCTGAGTTTCCCGGTAAACATCACTCGTTTGCTAGCAAGAATAAAAATGGAGGACCAATGCAAAAGTATTGATCTAGTCTGGGGGTGGAGTCCATGGGTGGAGATCCTAGGGGAGGGGAGGGGATTTTTTTTCTTACCAGAATCCCACTGTGACGTCACAAGGAGAGCACATTTGAAACGGAGCATTTTTCTCTGTGTTGTAAGACTTATGCAGACCACAAACAAATGACTGGATGGGTTTATTTCACATTTTGTGGGTCGGTAGACTCTCAGGTTACCCAAATATACTGTATGTTCAAATCCCCTTTAGCAAACTACACCAAACAGTGAACATGGAAGCAGTACTTGTCTTGTAAAATGTTGGACTTGCAGCAAAGTTAATTTCTTGAAAAACCCTTAACGTCTTAAAAATAATTTATTTCCCTACTGCAGGGGTACAAGGAATCCAGGAAATACATTGCAGCTCAAGGTAAGCTCATATCTATCAAATACACAGCAGTATGTTTCTGGTTGATTCAAATTGTGCATGTCTGTTAACAGTATTTATATATTTTTTTAATAATGAAGGATTTGTGTTAAAGGGCCAAAGGAAGAGACTGTGTGCGACTTCTGGAGGATGGTGTGGGAGCAGCAGTCCTCTATCATTGTCATGGTAACACGTTGTGAAGAGGGAAACAGGGTAAGTTCAGGGATTTTTTTTTTTTACTTATTGTAGATATTAATGTTACATTGAAACAGGGTTACAATTACAATAACTGACTGTCTTGAGTCTGTCATAAAAAAATCTTACATCACAGATATAAATAAATCTATTAGGCCCACAATTCACAACTACAATGTCTGGAAAGCACTGTAGTCCTTCATGGAGAATGTCTTCAGTGTTTCACTTTCTAGCTCTCTCCTCTCACTTGTTGTGTTGCAGGTAAAGTGCGCTCAGTACTGGCCGTCTGTGGTGCAAGAGGCCGAGATCTTTGAGGAGTTCATAGTGAAGCTGAACTCAGAGGAAAACTGTCCCGATTACATCATCCGTCGTCTCAGCCTCATTAATGTGAGTCCTAAATGATGAAAATGTTTTTGGTGTGAGCCATATGCAAAGTGATTATCTTTACTTTTTGAGTATGCTCGTGCTGTTACAGCCAGCATATCTGTCCCATACAAATATATATATAGATACTTTTAATACATCTGGGTATTTATATTTTACTCTGTGCGAATATAATTCCATCTATGTCTTGCAGAAGAGGGAGAAGAACTCAGAGAGGGAGGTGACCCACATCCAGTTCATCAGTTGGCCCGACCATGGCGTCCCAGGGGAGCCATATCTTCTCCTGAAACTGAGGCGGCGTGTCAATGCGTTCAAAAACTTCTTCAGCGGCCCCATCGTCATCCACTGCAGGTGAGCATACAGTCTTACTCTGGGTGATCTAACATGTTCTAAATCTAAACAATGTTTAATCTAATCTATTGTAAAACTGGACTTTTAATTTGGAAAGGCAGCTTGGGAAACTTTTTTGTACCGTCACCAAAGTTAGGCACATTTCTAATATCATCTCTCAATTTCTCAATCTCTATCTGGATAGTGCCAATTCATAACAAATGTTATCTCAAGAAACTTAACAAAAGAGCAGTAAAATACTTATTGCTCATTGTAGTATTATTTACAAAGACACAACATGAATCCTTTACTGAAACTTGGAATGTGTTATAACCCATATATTATCTCAATGTCATTACCTCATGAGCAGTGCAGGAGTCGGCAGGACAGGCACATACATTGGCATCGACGCCATGATGGAGGGTCTGGAGGCGGAGGGCAGAGTGGACATCTATGGTTACGTAGTCAGACTCCGCAGACAGAGATGTCTGATGGTTCAAGTGGAGGTAAGCTATCAATTAAGATCATGCAGCTTAACAGAGATAATAAAGTGGAGCAGGGTGCACAAGCTTAGGTAGAACTACTAGGAACTAGAAGAAGACAATATATAAGTATACTTAATATTTAAGTATTAGTATAAATTCTTAATAATTAATTGGCGTAGGTCATTATTTTAGCTTTTTTAAAGGTTTGTTTCTGGGCATTGATGCCTTTATTTAGAGATAGATCGTGGATAGAGCCTGAAATCAGGCAGAGAGAGAGAGAGAGAGAGAGTGGGGAACGACGAGGGGGAAAGGCACCACAGGTCAGACCCGAGCCTGGGCCCGCCCGCCCGCAACCTCCGAACATGGGGTGTGTGCACCAATCGCTGCACCACCAGCTCCCCAATTTGAGCTTTTTTAGTTTTTTAGAAATACGTTCAAATTCTATATGTTGCTGATGTCAAGTTATACATTTCAGACATTTTAACAGTACAATATAGTAGAAATGCACAGTACCAGATGTGCTGACATGACAGGTTTATTAGAATAACTACCCTGAGATCTCACACGGCTGGTTTAATGGGTCATGTGTTTGATGTTTTATGAGCTGTAACAGGTTGTGCTAAGAATGGATGTGCCATAGTGCAGGTTACATTTTTGTTTTTATATTTGCATTTCTTTGGACAATATATATAAAAGGCTGACTATTTTCATAAAGAACATGGGTAATGTTAGCACAGTACACCACAAGCATCTTAACCAATAACAAAGGAGGATGACAACTTGTATACGATTGGTTGAGTCTGAGATGTGGATTGGTGTGGATAGCAACATTTGTGTTCCTTGTTGACAGTTTGATTAATAAGGTAAGAACTTCTGTCCTCTCTCAGGCCCAGTACATCCTGATTCACCAGGCGCTGCTGGAGCACAACCAGTTCGGAGAGACAGAGATCACTCTGCCTGAGCTGCACAGCACACTGTCCACACTCAACCAGAAAAACTCTGATAACGAATCATCCTTGTTAGAAGAGGAGTTTGAGGTATGAAACTCAGTCATTCATCCTTTTTAGAAGTCTTGAAATGATCAGAAAAACGTTCTTCTATTCTTTTTTCCCCCACCCACCTCTCATAACCAAATATGGAGAGAAAATACTTCATAAAATCTCTTTTGCAATTCAGAGACTCCCTACCTTTAAAAACTGGAGGACATTTAAGTCTGGGATCTCAGAAGAAAACAAGAAGAAGAATCGTACTTCTTCTGTCATCCCATGTAAGTGTCAGCTGAAAACTCATACTACATTTACATTGTACTACTTATAACAAGGGGCGCCGTATAGGCTAGAAAAGTGACTTATGAACTTATTAAAACATTAGTTCATTTTTTTTCAATATCAAATTGTTTTGTTTTTTTCTTTGGTCCCAGTTTGTAGCATAATTTTGTGTATGTGGTCTGTTAGTCTGTGAATCTATTCATATACCTGAACCTTAACAGATGACTACAACCGAGTGTTGCTGAAGCTTGATGAAGGACACAGTCGTGACAGTGAACATGATGAGGATGAAGAGGAAGACTCATCAGATGAGGAAGATGAGGATTCCACAAAATATATCAATGCCTCACACATAGATGTAAGTTATAACTTTCAGACTTTTCCTGCATAACACTGACAGGACATTTCCTATCCTTAGAGTAATTGTTTTTTTGTTTTTTTAAAGTGTACATACATATACAAATACATTCATTTGGACTTCGCATGATAACAAACCGATGTGTTTTCTTATCCATTCAGGGTTACTGGGGCCCACGCATCTTCATCGCTGCACAGACTCCGCTGCCAGACACCATGGCTGACTTCTGGTCCATGGTTTATCAGAAGAAAGCCTCAACTATCGTCATGCTCTCAGACTGCAGTGAGGGAGAGAAGGTACTAAATATAGTGTGATGCTGTCTGTACAGGGAGTGTGATGCAGGTATAACATTTTTAAATGTTCGAAGCTGATTTATTTTTTTAAAGGGAGGAGTGGATTAGATACTTATTGCCAATTAGGGGAGTTTATACATTTTTTTTATGATTTCTTTGCATTATATTTCATTCATTTTTTCCAAAATAACTTGCCAGACACTGGGGACCCTCACTGTCCCTGAAAGTGGTTAAAACACGTAACAATGCACACAGTGACACAATGAAAAGGCCAATCCAAACACTGGCATAAGAACAACTCAAACGCCTCAAATATATAATTTCAGTATGTCTGAGTGCATTTTTTATTAACATAGAGAAACAGACACCTACATTGTTGCAGTCATGTGCAAAAACATTTTTACACATTACTTTCATTTCAGAACAAATCTCACTTGGGGACTTTGCATTTATTTTGAATTAAACAACTTTTTTTCTCAATTATGGGTAAAATAATCCTTTCAAATTTTTATTTGCACATCTTGGGATTCCCTTATCAGTGTCTTGTGACCCTGCAGGGGGTCCCAACCCGCACTTTGGGAACCACTGCACTTTACTGTTTCAATATAAAGAGAATAAAAAATACTTATTTCATCTCACATACAAAAAAACCCATATATATTCAGTAAAATATGTATGTCTTCCTGTTTAAATTAGTCTGACTGTGTCTACTGGGACGAAGACAAGAAAATATTCGGGGACTTTGAGGTGGAGGTAGCAAGCACAGACATCACTCCGACCTTCACCACCCGAAACATGCTGCTGCGCCATGTCAAGGTAACACAGCAACAACTGCTCCGTCTGTATCAGGATGTCATTACTGTTCGTTTCAGATCACAAGCTCTTTTAACCCAACATGGCTTCTGTCAACAGAGGAAAGAGAGTCGGTCGGTGAAACATTTCCAGTTCCTGAAATGGGAGAGCAAAGAGCTGCCAGAAAAAGCTCAGTATCTGACCGACATGATCAAAGACATCAAGCATAGCTGTGGCAGCGACAAATCACAGCAGAACAATTCCACCGTGGTCCACTGCAAGTAAGACAACATCTCCAAAAATTTCCTCCGGAATTTTAAAGGAGTAGTGTGTATACAACCACAACTTATGCCTATATTTTTGCTAAAGAATGGTTCAAGGCTTGCTAACTCTTTTGAAAGAAAACAAAACGATTTTCATATAGCCAAATCATAACAAACAGTATCGCATTAAACTTTACCTATAGAGCAGGGTTAGAACATGTTCTTTATTATGTTATTTATAGAGAACCACCTAAGCCAACATGGGGAAGCACTCAACAACAGCAGCATGGAAATTAAAGGTCTTAAAACAGCCAGATACCTCAGGCAGAAAGGAGCTGTAGGTGGACATCTTCCTTGATCAGTTCAGACCTAAAAAGCCTGACAGAGGCCAAAAATCATGTAGCACATCTTACACAGTTGCATGCCTTTGTGATGAAAAGTATTTCTTGAAAAGCTGGTCAGTTTTTAGTTTGGCTCCTAAAATCTCCAGAACTGAGTGGAAAAAAAGTCAGCATGTTACAAATTTTTTAAAAATGTGTTAAATAATATTCTCTTTAGTCTAGAGTGTGCATGTTATATTTTCCTATTTTAATGGCTCAGAGATCCTAAGTCTTCCACAAGTACAACAAGAAGTACAATTTGGCCCATATTTTCAAACACACTGAAGTGAGAAAATCTCTGCAGTAAGATACATTTATCAAGCTTCTTACATTAATGCCTAAGAGAAACATTTCTTTGCATAATGATGGTGGTTAATCACATTTTAGGAGAGCAGAGCAGGAATAGCCAATCAACCCAGCCATCAATGAAACATTTTTATCCACTATAGATAGATAGGAATTATGAAATAATGAAAGTTACGTAATGGAAAGAAGTCAAAAGAGAAGTAATGTTCATTAATTATTAAGATACTGCAGCCCACCATGACCTAAAAAGGTGTTGTTAAAGGGATGAGTAGGTGAATAGTGTGTCATCATAACCTGTGTGTGTGTGTGTGTGTGTGTGACTCCTCAGCGATGGCTCGTCCCGCACTGGGGTTTTCTGTGCTCTCTGGAACTTGCTGGACAGCGCTGAGACTGAGAAGCTGGTGGATGTTTTTCAGGTGGCCAAAACTCTGCGCAAGGAGCGACAGGGCATTCTCTCCAGTCTGGTAAGAAAGAAGAGTAACTCAGAATCTGTCAGTGCACAGTTACACAACCTAAACTTCCCACAGCGCTCAAAGTCAACAATTGCTGATGTGTTTCACGTATCCAGCACCACATTTCAGCCTTGTTCTGGCTCCCTTTGGGATTAAAAAATATATTCCACTTTTAATTCAGCCCATTTCCTTTGATAAAGAATTAAAGGTTTAAGCTGATGATAGATATAAAGAGATATCCTAAAAGACCAAAATTGTCTATTATCTAGTTCCTCTGTAAGTATTCCTGGTTCTGTAGCTCTCTGACTTGACACTGTTACTTCCTACTTAAGATCTTACTGAAAATCAAGACACCCACTTGTTTTGGTACCTGCCCAGAGAAACTTACAATTATGATTATTATCATACAATAAATACATAATAAAATAAAACCTCTAACGAGTACAATCAAATGTAAAAATAAATTAAAATTAAAATTGTATAAAAAAAAATGTATAGAAAACAGTTTTATGATGACAATATAAATCTATGGCACAAAGGAATCATCTATAATATATCAGGCTATAGCTACCCAAGTGTTTATATGACACATTCAGTGTTGGTTTTGTTAATTTCATGAATTTCTTTGTTGGAAAGAAAAGCATTTCATCATGTTCACCTGTGATTTCTTGTGCTCTTTTTCTGTGGTGCCCATAGTGTGAGCCTTAACGCCTTCATTCTAGCACCAAACCTTTATGTTTGACTTAATTCCACCTCTGTCTCAAACAGGAGGAGTACCAGTTCTTGTACAACGCACTGGATGGGGTCTTTCCTGTTCAGAACGGGGACGTGAAAGCAGCACAGGCCTCCGCAGCCGACTCCGTCCTGATCGTTAATGAAACCAAATTAGCAGCAGAGCCTGATGAGCCAGCCAGCACTGCCAGCAAAGGCCAGCAGGGGGCAGGAGACAGCACTCCTGATGTGGGTGATGGAGTAAAGGAAGAGGCGGCTGAAAAGGTTCCCACCGAGACAACACCCCTGGAGGACAGCAGCAACGGTCCTACGGTCACTGCTGAGGTCTGAGGAGGGGTTGCGTACATATTTCTGCCTACTACTTTGGAAAATAAGCGCTTTAACTTGATGCTTTCTCATATTATACTTAATGAATGTAAAAAACAATGTGTGGCTTGAGATTCGTGAAAGAATTTGATCAAATGTTTAATATGAATTTTTAAAAGTACAATTTAAACTAAGTTATAAATATCTTAGAAGAGAACGTTTCACGTTGAAGAGAGTGTCTGCAAGCAAATTTTACAATAATGCTGTTGTCAAACTAGAGTCCTGAGTACTGTATCGTGAGGCACAGGAAATTCTAAATAAAAAGGATACAATTTTATATATCCCATTTTAAGTGCATGTTGTTTTGAATTAAGTTTATATGTTTTTTTCTCTTGCAAAATAACCAGAAGCTGTGTTACACGTTTATATATTTCTAGTGTAGCAGAGTCATTATGATGTTGTGTTAAAGAGTTCAAGAAGTTTAAGGTATTTCTTTGCTGTTTGATTAAAAGAGACCCCCCAAAAAAGTCTTATTAATGTTGTCTTTGCATAGTTTGGTTTAGATAGGCTTTATTAGGATTGACTCACCAAGTGCAAGGCATCCGAAAATGCCATAAACATTTTGCCTTCCTCTCGGTCTCAGGTGTGTGAATGTAAATGTAGCTATTTGTGAAAAAGAGAGTTTATGGTAGCAATATGATATGTGTAATAAATTAATGTTAAAATACAATCATACACGTGTGATATAAAAGACAGAGGAGAAAACTGTTTAAATTATTTTACAATTATTTACTTTGATACGATGAACATTTTAAATCTGTGTGAAGTTATTGTCCAAGGCAAAAAGTTACAAAATGTAAGACACAAGATACAACAGGAAATAAGTACAATGATATAAGAACACAATCATTTGTCATTTAGAAATGATGAGCTCGAGTCTACATATCTGTCATATTTGTCTGATCAGAGCTGTTTTAAATTTGGTCAATGATTCAGTGCTGCAGCAGCATTTTGATCTTTAAATATCCATCACCAGTAGAAATACAAAGTATTAAAATCCCTCTCTCTCTCTCTCTATATATATATATAGACATATATGTACAGTATATGTGTGTATACATGTTTTAAATAAAACTGAACAAAAGAAAATTCTGTTCTGGATTTACATCCTCTGCAAAAAGATATTTTAAAGTTACAAGCTGTGTTAAGAGTTGTGATTGTTATATGAAGTACTGCACCTCTAAGAACATACATGCAATATTTTAGTGGTTAAAAAAAACAGTTGCTTAATATTCAGTAGCTTTCTTCTCTGACTGTTTGGCCTGTGGAGATGCAGCACAGATGTCAGCAATAAACTTTTAGAAGGTGTTAGTAAATATAGTGTTATGGGTTTCATAACTGCTGCCATTTAATGTGCATTCAGTTCAAACAAACGTCAATACTAAGAGGTTACTGAAAATACATTCGGTTTATTTCTGATACATACATACGTATACAATAGAGCTTTGTTTTTGCTGGTTTAAAAATAACATAGTTTGGACGACAATAAATGCCACCAACGTTTATTGTCGTGAAAGTCTCACAGACAGACTTTAACCATGACATGTTCAAATGTTTATGATTTATGTTTGGGGCGGCAGAAGCTCAGTCTGTAGGGACTTGGGCTGGGAACAGGAGGATCGCCGTTTCAAGTCCCGGTACGGAAATTGGTCTGGTAGCTGGAAAGTAGCCAGCCCACTTCCTGAGCACTGCCGAGGTGCCCTTGAGCAAGGCACCTGAACCCCAAAACTGCTCAGTCCCCCTCACTCTGACATCTCCATTAATGCATGTCAATAGGATCCTGTTTGTGCATTTGTGTATTTCAGCCTGTGTGTGTTCATGTTCATTAAACAGAGTGTAAAACTGAATTTCCCCTCGCAGGATTAATAAAGTATACAAATTATTTACATTATAATTAAATTAAATTAATAAAATTATTCTGTTATATTAGAAATTACAATATCTTGAGCGATGACTACATGTTGCTTTTTCCGGAAGTAGAGCAATAATCAAAGCTTGTGCATTCAAATACTGCAGGAGAGATAATAATAATACCTTTTGGTGACTTGAAGTCAATTGTTGTCAACAGGAAGAATTAAATTCTTAAAAATGCAACATTATGTATTAGCGGTTATGCATTGGCCCTTGGCTGAATGCCATACCCCACTATCTCCTTTCAACAATTCCTATCTCTCCATAAAGGCAAACATGGCCCAAGAATACATCTTTAGAAAAAAACACACATACGCATGAATACTCTGAAAAATGCTTGTTGCTTTTTTTTTCTTTTTTTTTTGAAGTGAAGTGTTGTAACGTTTGAGGTGAATTTTTGGATTACTAAAGCCTTCTTTTGCACTTTTCTTACAGACTTAACATGTTTATATTCACGTGCTTTGTGCCAAATCATTCAGTCACTTCAGTCTGTAAAATATTTAAGTTCATTAAGTGGTATGCTCCATTTGCAATAGTTAGAGTCAGCAGGAAACACTTGACTGGTCACACTTTTCCCTGAAATCTTGGAAGCGGCAAATTGACTTTCACTTCCGTCCTTCTGAGTACTTCATCAGTCTTCACTTTTCACTGAAGTTAGGGCTACTTCTTGTTTTTTTTTTGGTTTTTTTTAATAAAAAAAGATACTGAAAAACTGTTCTGGTTCACCTCTGAGAAGCGTCCAACAAAAGCATAGTGTAAAAATAAACACTGTGTGCTCATTTAAATGTATCACTATGTTCCATTTAAATATCTGGAGTGAAAATACTCAACCAGGCCAAAAGATTAGGATAATTCAGCTGGTTCTAAAATACTGTCAGTTCTACTGTGTCTTCACAGCAGATACAGTGTAACAGGTAATCCACCAGGAGCTTTGTTTTGCTTTTCTTCTCCATGTGACGGGCAGAAGCCAGAACAGGCAATCACCTGTTATCTTTTCTCAAATAAGTGTCAGTGTGGCACGTGTTTCCAGAAAAGTCAAATGCGTCATTTTGTTGATAGATAACTGTTTATTTTGCGACCATGCCTGTTTGTATCTCTTTCAAGTCTTGCTCCAACTTCCCTTGCATCTTGGAAAGCCTTCACTTCAAGGCACAGCTATGTCTTTCAGTCTGTACAGGAACAGGAAGCTGAACGCTGAAGATTGGACCTTCTGAACCCAATATTTGAGCTCCTCCTCTCTGTCTTTCAGCACGGCAGCTGACAAAACTAGAATCACACTTTCCTGCCGCAAGCTGGAACATTTCAGATAACCTGGCTAAAACCAGCTCAGCTTGTCAGGACCCTCAGAGTGCATGGCCTGCTCTTTTACAGTGTAATAACAACCACTGGAAGCTTCAGCTGTGATCTTCAGGCATTTCTTGTTTTAGCTGCCTGACTTTTCCTCTTTGATGCAGTTGGGCGAGGCCTGCCGAGCTGTGGCAGGTCGGACCTTGGCAGGGTCAGTTGTAGCCTTTGTGTTGTCAGAATGGGTTTTGGCAGTTTCTGGGCGTGTTATGGACTCTTTCTTTGGCAGAGGGACAGCGGCCGGCTCCCAAAGGAAAAACTCATGGAGGAGTGTGTTTACAGGGTCTGGACACTCCATCATGATCATGTGACTCCCGTCCTCAAGGACCTTAAGGAAGGCCATCAGAAGGATCTGAAAGGAGGTTAAATGGAAAAAAAAAAAAAAAGTTAGATTGTAACTCTTCATATCTTATACTAAGGCATTGGTTCTGGTGCAGGCCTCTGATTAACAGCCAACATCTACAAGCTTTTTCACAGTTCAAAGAGTAAAATAAAATGAAACAAGCTTATTATTTAAATGCAGGAGTACATGAGGAAATTAGGCTTGACATTAAAGTGTCCCCTACGACTTTGGAGGAAGGATCAGCAGGATGGGTACTGTGAGTTCAGCATGGTAGACCTCGTCCCCCTCAGGCCAGTACTGTCCACTCATCATGGCACGCAGCACAAAGGACGACACGTTGAAGGCATTGTTGTCTTTCAGCAGCTGTTTTTCCCTGGCACCCTGTCGAGCAAAGCCAGCCCTGCAGGAGGCAGAGAGTGGGAGATCAACCTGAATTACAAATAGTTTGAAAACAACATAAAACAGAGGATTGGGGTGATAATTAACTGTGGGTTTAATGAACACACTGGGGGCCAGAATTAGCAAACTAACCCTTCATAAACAGACAGCAGCAGAAAATGTTTTTAAATCAGTTGCAGCAATAATGTCAGCAGCAATTTTTCTAATTCTAGATAGATCTACCAAATCAATGATTTGTCTCTGTTACTGTGTACTCTTTTACTGTTGTGTTGCTGTGTCTTACTTGAGAAAGCTCCAGGCTAGCAGGGGGGAGAGGCAGTGAAGCACACAGGTGGGCAGGTTGAAGATGGAGCAGAGGCTGGGCTCCAGAGCTGTGGGACCACCTCCATTGATCATAACCATCTTGTGAATTTGCTCTGGATACTCATGGGCCAGGAAGGTACAGAACGACACACTGGGAGAACCGAACAGAAAGCCGGGTGGTCACAGGACAGACTACAGATGTCAGACTAACATACATCTGTTAGTTTGGAAAATTAGTTTTTGCGTTTAAGTTTTTGGACATTGTAGAGCATATTAGTCATTAAAGTCCAAATTTTAAGACTTGACTATTAAACAGCTGCTACAGAAAAACAAAAGCTGTCAATTAAATATCACATTCATCACTACATTCCTCAGTCCAGTGGTTCTCAAACGGTAGGTCAGGACCCAAAAGTGGGTCATGGAGGTGGGCCTAAAAAAAACTAATTGTGTCAAAAAGTCCACAAAGCCTATTTGTTTTGTTTCTTTGCGCTATTAAAAAAAGAAATATTGTCTGCCGGTCCAAACATGAGAATGTTTCATTAAAAAAATCTTAATGGTTGAAAAATATTTTAAAAAGGTTGCAATTTTTATGACGGGGTTGGTGGTGGGTCCTTAGGGAACCACTGCCTTAGTCCACTGTACATCATTTTACATTCAGTTGTGAAAAATGTCTATCACTCTCTCCCAGAGCCCAAATTAATTTACCTGCATCTTTTTTTTCTTTGACCAATTCTCCAAAACATTAAACACCTAATGTAGCTTTTGATAAGTTAGCTAATGATGCAACACGTTTTAAAAATGCAGATACAAAGTACATCAGTTAAAAAATAACTTGACCCACTTCTTACTCAAGCCTTTAAGGCAGTAAACTTTTCCCGAATTAGTTTATGGTCTCAAATGCTAGTTTCAAGTTGTTAAGTTTCTTTGACTTTTTCACTTTATTAGTGAAATTTATTTTCTGCAAAACCTAAAGACCCTTCCACTATACTCTTTGTGGATGTAGTGACCTTGAACTTACCCGTAAGAATGCCCTATGAGAATATTCCTTTTGCGTGCATATCTCTTAAAGATGAGTCTCAAATCCTCTGCCAGGGCATAGAAAGTGTATGCAGCAGCTATCTGTGGTGCCGAGCTGGCTCCGTGTCCTGCCAGGTCTGGGGCGATCACCTCATACCCAAGTCTAGAAAAGAAGTCCAACTGGCTCCCCCAGATGTCCAGTGACCCCCCTACTCCGTGAATGAAGAACAGAGCCACGTCTGAATGTGTCCCCCTGCAGGCTGATATCATCCTCTCACAGTCAATCACCACAGTGCGCTTCGGTTTACGCCTGCGCCTCCTGGGAAGCTGCGACTGCTCGGCCTGAGCAGCAGCGGGAGCATCTCCTCCTGCTGCTCCGTCAGAGGTCCCGTCTTTTGCAGACTCAGACATGGGCTCAGGCATGGTGACAGGAGGTGAGTTGTCTGTCAGCTCTACCTCCACAGTGCTGTTTGGTTCTGTATCCCCATTCTGGTAGTTTTTCAGCTCTCCACTCGCCCTGTCACCCAAGTTCTCTATGAATAGTTGTCCATTGCGGTAAACTGTGATCTTCCGTTTGCAGCTGACACTCCCACCCTGCCCGGTGGGTTCCTCCACCACCGGTCGGTCAGGGATGATGTGTCGAACCCGCAGAACACGGCCTGGTTTCACCTCCACAAACTCGAAGCCATCAGCTGGTTCTGATGTTTCTACAGGAACTACCACGTTGGCAGACTTTGAGGTCAGGCAGCAGAGTACACCCTCTATAAAGCTGGTCAGCATGGCTGCCAGCCTGTCGGAAATGCATGCAACAAAAAAAACAAATATGAATAAAAAAAGGTTATAAACATTGTTTGTTCTATATTAAGTTTTTTTCAAACAAACAAACCGTTATATATTCTATGAATACTTTTTTTTCAACAATCTGTCTCCAAATCCCTGATAGCGGAAGAAGTTATTATGTAGCCTACTAATGATGCCTCATATGCGCCACAAAAGCAAACCAGCCCATCGGACGGAGAGCTGATTTTTTCTATCATTGTTTTAAACGCCTGTAACTGCTGCCATGGGGTTGGATTAAGACCATGTCTTTTCCAGGAAGCATCCCACAAGAGCCTTTGTTTACATTACAAGTGTCTCAGTGAGTAGTGCGTAAGAGAGTTAAAAGGATGAAGGAGATTTCTCCTTAATGAATTCTACACACGGATGTACAGGACAAGATCAGTGAAGATACACTACATTTGTCTGCAGGGGGCGCCAAAGTCAACACAAAGTGAAAGTTCCTCAATTGATTTAAGTAAAAGTCAATTCAATGATTTTGATTCAAATGTATATAAAGTAAAAAGTATAGAAGTTACTTTTGCATTAATCATATCACTCATGTCACAGTGGGTAAAAGAGGAGTTAATTTCAATTACTCTATCAGTTAATTATAATTAGATAATGTTTTGTATTTATAATCCAGATCCACAATATAACAAGCAACTGAGATTATTTAATAAGTGCAGCAGAGAAGACGGAACAATATCTTCCTCTGAAATGCAACGGAGTAAAAGTTAAAGGTTGCATGAAATAAAATGAATGAAGTTAAGTAAATAATCTAAAAAAACTACAAGCACAGTAAATGTTCTAAGTCACTTTTCACCACTATTAGTGACTGTATTATCACTCTATTGCTTTACAGTATGATATCATGCGTTTTGACAAAACAATGTGACTGTTGTCATCAATCTTTGGAACAACATTGAATCTTTCTATTAAACGAGTATGTGCGAACCTTAAACGTACCGGTAAACAACTTCATCTGCCTTTACAGTCTGGGGACTAATTACAACTGAAACCCTGGACACTCTCTGTCAGAAGTAACTGAGCAGAATCCTCCCTCAGCGCGGACTCTGGTGGTATTAATAGCCGGGGACAGTAATAGCTCCCTGCGTTAAACTGTCCACCATGTGACCACTGCGCACCGGCACACGCTGCCTCACTGTCATTTAAAAACACTAAACTACTCAAAGTAATCAATGGTCCTTTCTGAAGTATGGCCCAGTAAATCTGAAGAGAGTTAGATCATTACCTTGAGGACAACTGGACTCATATAAAGAACATGTGAACTCACTCAGATCATGAAAGTCATGGAAGCCCTCACATTTGATGGAAAATCACATCAAAATCTAAGGAATTAGTATTAACTCCATATTTGAAAAGTGGGAAAAACGTACCACCTTAAAAGTACATTTCTAAAGAATAATTAAGACAACATATATTGCAAGTCTCAAATGTACTGTCTACACAGTACACAAGATTTTAGGCTGTCAGTTGATTATCGTCCATGGCAACAGCTAAGCAGCCGAGCAGGGTCTGCAAGTCTCTCTGCTGGTAGTATTATCCTGCCTTCCTGTTACTCCCCTCCCTGCTACGGGGGATTACACTCTCCGTCTCTCTGTCTAAGTCCACACAACACAATCTGTCTGTCTCCTCTCTGAATAAAAACAGTAAACAGGGGACGATCTCATCCTCTGTGTGATTTGACATCTTATTTGCTTTGCAGCTCCTGTTTTCATCAGGGGCCTGTGGACACAATTGAAATACAGATTCCCTGCTTTGCTGTCTATTCTCACACCCTTTCTGCTTATACTTGCACATCCATTATCCAAACAGCAGTGTTATACAGAGCTGTATGTGAACCAATGGAGAAGGCTGTGCAGGCCATTTTGATATCACCTGTATTAACCTTTAATATTTTCCCCCAAACAGAAGGCATCCATTATTAAGGCAGAAGGTGTGACTTATACTATTACTTTTTTGCTTTCCTGTAGCCTCTTTGATGACAATATAGCCAAGGTTTTTTTTATACTGATTCATGTAAGGCTGGCTGCAGTGGGCCTATGGCATTGGGTTGTCTCAAAGTTAATCATAAACGTGACATACTTTTATGTTTACCAGGGGGATGTGGGTCACTTGTTAGATGTTTGCCTCTAACACAGGACAACTGAGCACACTGTGATACATCCACTGACAATATCACTCCATCAGTCTATTTAAAGCTATTATGAGGAACTTTCATTTTTCAACCATCTTGGCAACCCCTGTGGACAAAGTGGTACGTCTGATCTCCTTGCTGAACTTGTCCTGTACATAAGTTCTTCTGCAACAACAAAAAAAATCCCTGAACTTTTAACTGTGAAACGTAGTACTCTTTTCTGCAGAGATGTTAACAACGCCACTTCTGGTTTGCCTGTTGTAAAACACCTCAGTATATTCAAATATTCAGTCTTTTGGTCTGGTTTGCTTTTGTAGTGCCATATAGACGCATGCATATTATTTCAGATAGTTCCATAAACAGCTTAAAACTCCACATGGGTGCTTTCAATTATGCAAATGATCTGAATATAACTATGTACAGTGTCTTCGAGTATACCTAAAAAATATGTAAATAAAATGTATTATTATTAATATGATTATTGTTATTATTTATTTAATCAAGATATTTTCATGAATCTTCACAAAAATAAATCTCATTACATAAACATTCACCCTTTAGATTAATAATGATCTCCTTTAAATTGCCAAATCCTAAAAGTCTGCTTTGAAGTTATAACCAAATTTGGGGGGGTGTTAGTTTAAGTCAGACCTGCCAAACATGCCCTATCCCTCTCATTCTATCGGCCCTTTACATCATAATCAAGTCTTTACAGAAAGAAAAAGGTGGTAAGAGCATGGCCTGCTTGGGTTTCTCACAAGGTAAAAACTAGCACAATAATATTGAGTGCCTTCCATGAAAACATTGGTTACTTGCAAATTACTAATGGCTGTAAGACTTGAATGCATCAAGTTTTTTGATCTAAATTTAAATTGTTTGCATATCACACATCCTTTAGGTAAGGGAAAAAACAGACAGTCTTGGAATATATCCGTGCTTGACGTGATAAAGCGTCACTATTGCAAAACCAGACCATTTATAGTACCCAGAGAAGGACACAGATTTTTTTTTTTACCTGCTTAAAACTACAACATTTCTTTTGCGGGTCACTGAAGCAGTCAGGTGTTAATTGACTTGTTAAAGGGCAACTCATGGTGATCATTAGGAAAAGGCAAAGGCTACCTTTAGTCGCATTTGATCACTCTGGGCCAGGGATTGAACTGACCACCTTGTAGCCAAAATACTGTGTCCCTGACTGAAGGTTCAGATTAAGTGCAAAGTAGGTAAGTGCGTCTCTCTTTAATTAAAATGTTTGTGCTGTGCTTTGTTATCGTGTGAGTTTGCCTGCCTGTGATTTCACCTTCTATTTGGACCTTATTTTAAAGCAATGTTTGATCTCTCTTGCAGTCAGTGCTGTTCAGCGGCTGCAGGAAGCTGTTATATAATGACTAACGTAGATCAGACAGAATCATAGTGGGGACTGATGCCCAGAAAAGAGCAGAGACTGTCGTGAGGATTTAAAAGAACAGTTGGTTCACCGTCCTGCAGATGAACTACGCTAGTCACTGGAGCTGGTTTGAGAGACCATCACCTGTCTGATTCTGTGCTACTAAACACTGAATCTGGATCACTAGTCTCTGTTGTAGTTTACATTTAACCAATAAATTGTGTTACCTAAGTACCTTTGAATTCTGTCTTTCTTTCTTAAGAAAGTTTCAGCTTGCCACAACTCAATATAAAACTGTTTAACCTAAAACAAAGAATCAACTTTTTTTTTTTGCTTTAAATGAAGACAAATGCTTTAAAAACAACTGATTAAAACCTACGTTTCTTTACTGACGCGGACAATCTGAACTAACATTACAATCTCCACCAGCACTGTAGCACTGCATTGTTGTTGTTTATAATCATCACCTATATACAAGTGTTTTTTTTGTCCAAGGCTGGGGCATTTTCTATGGTAACTGTCATATTTATGAGTGACATTGATTGATTGACTGATTAGTTGAACTTAATTGTCAGGCAAAGTCTGGAATTTGTCTTGCATCACAGCAGCTCTATTTACAACTTAAAAATGAAAGACAAAATACAAAGAGACATTGAGCAAACACCAAACAAATATTAAGAGGCCTATAATGTACTTTTGATCTGGGATTCAGCTCCATATTCACTTTTAGAATTGAATGGTTTACAAAGGGTGCTTTAGTCTTATGTTTATAAAACTTGGGGCTGTGTATCTCAGGTGTCATAATAATTCATACTGTGTTCTGTGTGTGCTAAGAGTCAGGGACTATGCTGTTAGCCATCCTTAACATTTATTTTTATGGTAGACTGATTCATAAACTCTCTGGAGTGGTTGGTCTACAATCTTTGAACAGAATTTGATTTGGTGGAGCACGTTTGATTTAAAGTGGTATAAAGACATTAAATCATGGAAGATATGGGAGCCAGATTTCAGCAGAGTGGAATAATATTTTTAAGTATCAACACCCTCTGTCTATCCAAGTTGTTCAAATATGGTAAAAACAGTATAGAAATAGCCAAAGGTCTAAAACGATTAGAATGAGAATTCCGAAAAAAAAAAAAAGTAAACAGAAAACTTCCTACATAACAGTATTAGTGACTCATTATAACATAGCCATACTCACTCAGCTTTGTTTCTAATGTTGAATGAAACTTGCTGTAGCCTATTCGGTGCGTAGGTAAAGGCAACTATCATTTTCAATAATGACAAAGGAGAGTTGAAAAGGCCCCCTCACTCATTGTCTGATACAACAAATGAGACAAGTAACTTTTTATTTGATCCACTGCAGCAGTAAACTATATTTCATATATATAAACAGTAGCCCGATGCTATTTAACAGTGTGTCTTTAACTGCAGAGTAATTTAACATTCAGCGACCTGTTTCGTGTCTGTTTTCAGTAAAATACTGTAACATAAATGACAAAGTATACATTGATGAATCTTACCTTCTTATTTTCGTAAACTCCGCGTCAAATATGATCAGTTAGATGTGGGTTTCTCATGAAGCATTGCGGATGCAGGTGAGCTATAATCTGTGGCAGCCAATCCAATAATCTAATTTATCTGGATTCTGTTGTCCTGAAGGTAGCCTCCACATGGCGGCTGGTATCAGCCGACAGACAGCATATCTTTGTGAGGTACACAGTCAGCTCCACATATCTGTGAGTGCCACTGATCTGCTTCCATGCTGAATATTGTTGAGGACGTTTGGAGACTCACCGGAGATCAGCTGAATGCCATTGCTTTTACTCCAGCGACGGGAGTACGTTGACCTCCTTGTTAGGTTTGTGGACGTGAAAAGCTGCCCCCTGCTGCTAAGTGACGCCAAACAACAAGTGAAAAAATAACTTCCGTAGGCTATCTACAAAACAGATTAAAATAAGAATAATAATAAACCCTAAATAGGCCTACTATGTGCCACATGTTTATGTTTTATAGAATTTACAGCCAAACGTTGTGTTAAAAGATGCATGTTTGAATTTTTAAATAGGCCTATCTGAAATTTTTTTTTTTTAAATAACCAGTGAAAAACAACTTCTTGTGCAAAAATCCTTACAGACCTACTCTGTGTTTTTAAATGATAATCCTAGTAGCCTATATTTGTCAATTATAAACCTTTGTGAGATATAGCCTATTGTCCAATTGAACCAAGCTATAGTTGGTCACTGTCTGCTTTCTTGTTTGTTTGTATAAAAAAAGAAATATGACTTGTTAAATGTAGTTTATCTTGTGATGTATCCATGCTTGAATGCTTAAAATAGTTTCTTCAGCTGTTGGCCTAATTAACTAAGTTTTAGGCTTATTATTATTTTGCTGAACACTCAAAGGCATCTTCTTCCTGTACTGTCATTTTTTTATATTCATATTCAATTGTAATCATATGTTTAACATAAATTGCAAATAATTTCCCCTTCAATTAATCAGCATCCCAATTTACATGCAGCACCCCATAGGAGCTGGTGCTGTGGCAGTTACCATGGCAGGTTGTTGCTAGGTAACTATGTGTATGGTGTTCAGAAGACAGATGCCAGAAAATTGAGATGATGACTGAAATCAAGTAGTAGATTTTTACTTAATTTACAAGTAGATATTGATAGTGGGTCGTTGTCAGGCTTTGTTGGGCTGAGCACTTAAGTTTCATTCTCTGAGCATCAACAGGAGATGCAGTTGACGCGTGTCACACCCTCTGTTGATTGCAAGCTGAAAATCTGGGGCGGGATTTTCACGAAAATCCAAGTTTAAAAGAGTCTGAATCCGAAACTGCAGCAGAACAAGCTCTGATCTGAAAACTAGGAAGGTCTTGTCAGCTAGGTGGGTGAATCGAAACTTGCTTTGAGTAGGTATTGATAGTGGGTCGTTGTCAGGCTTTGTTTGGGCTGAGCACCTAAATTTAATTCTCTGAGCATCAACAGGAGAGGCAGTTGACGCGTGTCACACCCTCTGTTGATTGCAAGCTGAAAATCTGGGGCGGGATTTTCACTAAAATACAAGCTTAAAGGAGTCTGAACCCGAAACTGCCAGCAGAACAAGCGTCTGACGCTTCAGCTTGGCCACAGAGCCCGGGCATCCACGACTACTGCTTTGCCTATTTCCTCTGGTCATCTGCTAAACGCAACATGTGCTACAAAGAAATCTCTGTCATCCTCTGACTGAGGATGAAGTCTCTAAGCTTGTGCTAGACTCTCGGCCCACCACCTGTCCTCTGGACCCAATACCATCAAGCCTCCTGCAGACCATTTCCTCTCTGCTTAATGCTGCACTTAAGCATATCATCAACTCCTGTCTGTCAACGGTGTGTTCCCCATCGCATTCAAGCAAGCTTGGGTCACACCTCTGCTCAAAAAACCCACACTAAACCCAGCCCAGGTTGAAAACTACAGACCGGTTTCTCTTCTGCCCTTTCTGTCAAAAATACTTGAGCACACAGTCTTTAAGCAAGTCTCTGAGTTCCTGTCCAGAAACGATCTGTTTGACCCAAATCAGTCAGGCTTTAAGTGGGGCCACTCTACTGAAACTGCACTACTGTCAGTAATAGAATCGCTACGAGCTGCCAGAGCTGCGGGTCAGTCCTCAGTTCTATTACTGCTAGACCTGTCTGCTGCCTTTGACACAGTCAACCATCAAATCCTCCTGTCCACGCTCTCTGAACTTGGCATCTCAGGATCTGCCCTCTGCTGGTTCGTGTCCTACCTCTCTGGGCGATCTTTTAGAGTGTCGTGGCAGGAGAAGTGTCCAAAGCGCACAGCTGATCCACAGGGGTACCTCAAGGGTCAGTGCTTGGTCCCCTTCTCTTCTCCATATACACAAGCTCCCTTGCTTCAATAATCCGCTCTCATGGCTTCTCATACCACTGCTATGCTGATGATACCCAGCTCTTCCTGTCATTCCAGCCAGACGATGTTACAGTCTCTGCAAGAATCTCGCCATGCCTTGCTGATATCTCTAAATGGATGAATGAACGCCACCTTCAACTCAATCTTTCAAAGACTGAGCTCCTTGAACACCTGGGTGTCATGATTGATGACCAGCTAACTTTTTAAGGTTCAAGTAGCCTCGATTGCCCGGTCATGTCGATTTGCCCTGTACAGTGTCAGGAAGATCAGACCTTACCTGTCAGAACATGCTACACAGCTCCTGGTACAGGCTCTTGTGATATCACGCATCGACTATTGCAACTCTCTACTGGCAGGTTTTCCTACATGCACTATCAAACCCCTGCAGATGATACAAAATGCAGCAGCACGACTGGTCTTCAACCTTCCTAAAAGAGCACATGTCACTCCGCTGTTCATCTCCTTACACTGGCTCCCAGTTACTAGTTTACAAATTTAAAACTCTGCTTCTCGCTGACAAAACAGCGACAAAAACTTTCCTCCTTACTCTCTGATTAGAGCGCTCAAGAACTGCCGTCAATGTTGTGCTCTGCCTCTGTGCAATGCCTGTCAGCACCTGTGTGTCCAATCGGACTCAAAGCTGATAATTTGCTCTTACTGACATTGTTCCCTTTTTTCTAGATCCTTGCTTGTGTTGTACTTACTCTCTGATGTACGTCGCTTTGGATAAAAGCGTCTGCTGAGTGGATTGTAGTATTGTAGTAACTTAAAAACTGTGTGACTAGCTGTTGATGTTTAAATAATGAAACTCATCTTGTAAGAGAACTAGACAATTTGCATTTACCTGCGGAAAATGCGTGGGAATGCTGACCCCTGAAATGTTTTGCAAAACACTGCTGAATGAAGAAGAATTAGCAGAAACAGCTGAAGGATTAGTAGATGAAGAAAAAGTAGATGTAGAAGAAGTGGAAAAAGTAAAAGAGCAGTAGTAGAAGTATTAGTAGAAGATGAAGAAACAGTAGTAGAAGTGATAGAACAAGTAGAAGATACTGTATAAAGTACAGTCAGACAATGAGAAAAAAGGGGAAAACATCTCCCTATTGAGTGCTCATTTCAAGGGCTTAAATTAAGAGTTGGTGGCTAAATGATGATTTTGTGAGCAAGAGGACAAATGGCGGAACGCGTTGATGTGATTTTCATGTCTGGGATCCAAGAAATGTGGAAACCACAGCGATCTAAAAAGTTAGTCCCAAGAGGTTTGGTCAGGGAAGTTTTTGGGAAGTTTACCATTACCCCAGATGGACATTTATCTGGACCACCTGACGCTTTGAAGCTCACAGTGTAAAATCCTTTGCCCCGTTTGTCCTGAAAACTCAATGTGTGAGAGAGGACACGTTTTCCTACATTTTGAGGGTAAATTTATTAGTGTGGGGTGAACATTGTGGTCAGTAGAGCAATTTGTTCGGGAGATTTTGAAACTATCTCAGAACTCTGTCCCACTCTAGCGATGATGTCACGCACTCTAGCCCCGAACATTCCACCACGCACACACCCATTCAAAAAAATGTGAAAGCAGCTAAAAACATCACAAAACAGTTGGAGGTACAGTTTGAAAAGTATAAAAGGTAGCAAGAAAAGTGAAAGTAGTATAAATAGTGGAAAAGTGTGTGAACGTTTTAAAGTAAAAATGGAGTCTCTAGGCGGAACAGAGCCAAAGTTATACGGCTGAGAAGAAAGTTGAAAATTGTAAAATTTTGTAGAAAAAGTGTAATAACAGCTGTATCACAGAATTCCCACTAATAAGATTTCCAGTCAATGTTTTAGGGCGGGGTCAATGACTGCTGTGCTTTTGATTGGCTGTCCACTCAAGCTACAACCACGTGGTTGAAAGAGTATGCCAATGGGCGCCGTCGGGGCGTGGTCAATGAAGCATCGTTACCATCGAGCGATCATGCTAGCCGAAGAAGAAGTCCTGTGAAACTCGCTCATTTTCTACACTCATACAATGACAACGTGGGTCATTTTTTTTCTGCCTTTTTCCATTGACAGCGTGGATATAGAATGGAAAGAATAGCGTGCGTGTGAGAGGGTTATATATGGTCTTCTTTACGGCGAGGAGCCCCCAGGACAGCTGCCTCGGTTTCTATTAACTAGTCAGCAAGCTAGCGCCGCTCACCGCTACATGCTCACACATCCTCCAAGAAACACCGAGTATAGGTAAACAAGTCAGCGCTGGACAAACGTTTCCACCATCATGGAAAAGGTACGTGTTTACACTATTGTATATTATTGACACTGCTGTTCACAGAGGGCATATGGTAACACGGAGCGAGCTAACTAGCCTCACTGGTAACAAATAAACTAGCAGCCACACCTGCTTCTGCTGCTGGCATTCATTCCCCCACAAGGCCGAGCTGTTCTCTAAAGCTGCTCAACTCTGACTTTGCTATTTTGAAACCACATGCTGTATACTGTGACTTACACTATCTGATACCAGCTCCTGCAAGCCTGGAGGTTACCAGCTCCTAGTGCAGGCCTGTTAGCATGTTGCTAAAGCTGTCCGGCTCATTAACTCTGATCTGTAAACGCTTCTGATTTACATTTGTGTTGTTGTTGTTGTTGTTTTTGTTGCGACTTTCTAACATCTGTATCAGGAAAATCCCATGCAAAAGTCAATACACCTGTTAGTTTAAAGTAGAGAGTAATGGGCAGGTAGATTTTGGAAACTCGCAGTCTAAATAATCAGAATAAAAACAAGACAAGACGAAACTTCATTCACTAAAACCAGAGCTGTTGTTGTTGTTGTTGTTGTTGTTGTTGTTGTTGTTGTTGTTGTTGTTATATATACCTCTTCCTTCCCA